CATTATTCATCATAAAATGTTCGTCACGAAATTTTTTTATATTATTAAAAAACTTTTTTGTACACAACATTATGCGTTTGATTATTGGATAACTCGTTGTGAGGAGCACATACCAACTCGAAACGGACGCAGGTTGCACAAAGGGTTACGAAAATTGGGCCCCACTCAACTGGGCTCCCTTGCTGGGCTTCTCTCCTGGGCTGTGGATGCTGATTATTGTCGTCGAAAAATTTGCCCCCGCGCTTGGACCATTTTTCTAATTTCCAACTGTATTATAAATTATATTTTATTCTTATTTTAACTTTTTAATTCCTATTCTATGTAGATAGTTATTTTACATACTCAGCTATACTAACAAAGTATATTTTTAGTTTGAACCATATCTTCCTTAATAGTGAGTTGAATAATTTATAGATTGAAACATAATTTAATGATTTCCTCTAATTTCTCTCCCCTCTCCCCTTCTCATATTCCATATTTCACAATTTTCTCCAAATAAAACAGAAAATTACATACAACAATTATTAAATCAAAATCTGCAAATAAACGTAAACTTTTTCTTAATAATTTTTATATTTTTTTTGAAATATTAATTGCAATGGTTCGACACAAAATTGGTTTGTTTTTTTTTATATGTTTATGAATAGGCTATCTATCTTAATTTTTGTTCAAAGTTATCCTTGATATGTTTTTTATTTATAATATTATCTATCGTTCCGAAAAAAAAAAAAAACCTTGATATGTGTTTTAGAGATATAAAAGACGACTTTTTCTGCAGTAACTAACCACCAAACTTAAATGATTTTTTGTTTCAGCTACTAACATTTTTTTGTTTGTTCGATTTTCTATTGAAATTTGTGAGCTGATATTAAATAACAATTTTTAGTTAATAACTTGACTACTTCTCATCAATAAGATCCACTACTTTTAAATATTGTGTGACAATAATGATGATTTTTGTAAAATGTGAAAAATGTGAAAAATGTGCATATGATTGCATAGATTCAATAAAATAAAGACAAATGCGATAATATATGATAAATTCGATAGTTACGTTAAACAGTTTTGTATAGGATATTAACCATATTTATCTAGATTTCAAATTTTAAGGAAAGTATTATTACTGGTCGACTTTCTATTAAATAAAAAACATAACAAATATATTTTAGGGCAACATTTTGAGTTTCTAAAAAATAATAAATAAAAGTTACTATAAATGGCATGTAATAAATGCTAATGGAGTTTGACTAAGATTTGACTTACTATTTTTAAAAAATGGTAAATTTTTTTATATATATATAGATGTTGAAAAAATATGTTTAGTAACATAGCTAATCTTGTGGTTAATTTATTAAAAAAAAAATTGCTTCTAATAATAATCTTAGTGTTGTAAGGATCTTGAGAAGGATTATACGTTGATGGAACAAATAAAAGTCTCAAGGGAAAGTATCTTTAAATTATATTTATTGCATTTTATGAGAAGTATTCATTTGGTATTTTAAGTTTAATTTTAAGAACTTTTAAAATTGAAGATTTTTTCATATAAAAAAAAAAGAGATAGTGAAACCCTTAGGGTGTGATTGGATATATAATTGTTTTGTTTTTTTATCTAAGCCATAGTTAATTTGAAAATAAAATAAAAAATGGTTGGGTTAGATTTGAATGAAATTTGATTTGTATTAAAATAATATTTACAATAAAATGATTAACTTTTATTTTATGTAAAAAATGAGAGAAGTGATTAAAAGTGATGGATAATTAAAATTATGTGAGTGGATGAATAGTAAATTAAAGTTAATGTATGAAAGAATAATTGATTTGTATTGTTTAGTTATGTTAATAATATTGAGGAGAGTCGATGTTGAGTTAAATTTGACGTGATTGAATTTTTCTGGTTAAGATTTATATCCAATCACACCCTTAGAAATCTTAAGTTGACTGTATTAATTTAGAACTTTTAAAGGTCTCGAGTTATTCAGTTGAGATTTGAAAAAGTTTTAAAAAATCATGAGGTATTCAATTTATTTATTATTTCAATTTGTCTGGATTTTTTTAAATTTAATGAGATTTCAAAAACAAAAGTCATATTTGAAATCTCACGACAAATCCCACTTTCACATATAAATTTTGAAGAATTCTAGTTAAATCTAATTTTTTAAAGAAAAGTTCCGAATTTTAAAAAGTCCTAAAATATCATTCATACAATCTAATAAAATATACACCTTCTTAAGTCTAAACATGAGTAAAATATAAATCGTTCGCAAGTCTTAATAAAGTTCTAAACAATTTTAAGCGTTAAATAAGTAAAATATCTCGTTAAATAAGTAAAGTATCTCATAACTTCTTAATTTTTTTTTTAAAAATTTCAATTGAGTACCTCAATACATTTAAAAGTTGTAAAAAAATCTAAGCTAAATACACCATAATTTCTAAAAAAAAATCTTAAATCTTTCGGTTTTTATTTCATTTTTATATTATAATTTTTCATGATATCCCTTGGTCTAAGAATGAACTTGCTTCATTAATTATGGAAATTTACATGGGATTGCACAGGTATATATGGGGTTCAGGACAGGTGCCTTTCTGGAGCAATCAACAACTATACTCATCAGCTTTCAAGTTACAAAAAAGCCCATCAATGTAAATAAATAAATCACTCATCTTTTACTTATTTTTTTTTTTTTCAACAATAATAAAAATATATATATTTATGTTTCATTTTGTTGTTATTAGTCAAGATTTGAAATGCTAACACACACATTTCGTATTTCCAAATTTTAGATAATCTCACAGAGGCATTGCTATTTCTCTCTCATTTCATAGCAGATATTCATAGTCGGTTTTGCTACGAAACAAGCCACCATTTGGCTCAATAGTGGAGTCAACCTTCTATATACGACTAATAAACTTACTATATCAATAGAATTATATTAATGTTATTTAAGTAATCAAATAATATGGTAGGTTTATTTGTCGTATATAGAAGGTTGGCTCCACTACGAACAAAATCTGCACCATGTAAAGGCCCTTACCTAATAAATTAATCCCCTCTTAATTTGCACAAGTTACAATAATATGAGTTGAATAAAACAATATATTAATCTAAAACATCACTGATATTTAATTGAAAATCAAATATATTACGAGTCGTTTTTATTTACTTTCGCAGGTTTGGGACACTGATATAATCCAAAAACTGGAAGGTAGAGTCAATTCAAATGTAGAAGATCTCACCAAAAGAACTCAACAAAAATAATGGTACAAATGTTATATAATACAAAAATATATATATATATATATATATATATATATTTTCATGATCAAAATTTGTATATATATTATGCTTGGACAGGGCAAATGAAGAAGGCAAATCCGCAGCTGGGAGTTTTGTCCCGGTCGTCAAAAAACTTGCCCTAACGCGTACTTAACTTAATTAAAATTTATTCTAATTTAATTTACTTCACTTTGCAATATATTTTATTTGGATTTTCTAAAACATGCATAAAATTTAATAAACTGTGTGTAATTTTTCAGGTATGCAGAGGAGAGTATAAAGATAGCTTGCCAGTGGGCATATAAAGAGGTTCAACCTGGTTCAGTACTAAAAGGTCTTTTTTTTTTTTTCTAAATAGACTTTTCTTTTTCTTTAGTGTTTTTTATAAGTAAAGTCATTTCATTTAGTTTATAACTTTTCGGATTTTTCATGCAGATGAGTATTATCAGACACGGTTACCTGTTGTCGAAATGCGAATAGCACAAGCTGCGATTCGCTTGGCAGCGACTCTTAATCGGATATTTACCTGATATAGTATTCTGAATATAAACTATATATACACACACACATATATATATATGTGTGTGTGTGTGTGTGTGTTATGGGGAATATGATAATCAATAAACTATGTTATATGAACACAGATTTACATATTTTAGAAAGAAAATTCATAATTTAAAAGTACAATATAAAAAGATGACACTTCATTAGTTTATATTATCTAAATATGCATTTTTTTGTAAGAAAAAAGAATATAGTTATCTAACGATTAGACAACGCAAGAGCATCACCAACTACACCGCCCAGCTTCTGATCAGCTGTGATAATGCTAATTTTGCTTCTCAATTTTTTATTTTTTTTTTTAAAAAAAAACCTTAATGCACACCTATAATTGTTCAGAAAAATTAAATTTTCAGTAAAACTTATGATTCTATGAAAATGTATGTTGAATGTATCTCAACATATTCAAATGTATTTTCACCGCATATTCGAATGATCACATTGCAATCATATTAAAAAATAAAAAAGCAAAAAAACAAAATAAATAAATAAAAAGACAGAAGAAGAAGAAACTACCCATATGATGTTTATTTCTAATAAATTTTAGTCTAATAGTTTCTAAATTTCTCGGCAAGTTCAAGACCGGTTCAAAGAGTCACAAGACCATATCGATTAATTGTGAAATTGAACTGTTTGTTTCTTGCATTACCTGAAATCAAAACATAATGATGCCAACCGAATTTAGCCGAGAGAAAAATCTTCAGTTTGTGTCTCCATGTCTAAGGAACTGAGTGAACTTAGCTTTTACATCCACAGGAATACGAACCGGACGGTAATTCTTATCGAGCCAAACTGCTGTGGCCTTTGCTTCCACGATGGGCTGGATATGTGAAAGACAATTTATAATAGTCTTAATATTTATCCTTAAATTAAAAATAAAAAAAATAAAAAATAAAGGAAATAAACAGCTATCTTACGTACTACGAATACCCTTTGGAGATTTGTTTCTAATTTAAAAAATTTCACCTCCCCTAGAAGAAGAAAGTAAAACTCAACTCTCAAGGGCGTATTGGCGATTAGATCGTTTTTGCAATAATTAAGTTAAATTCTAAACCACCGAGTTAGTTATTGTAATATGCACCTAGGTCGATTTAGATAATGAGTGTGGATATATATAAGATACCTCTAAATTGGGAAGCTTGTAGATGAAATGTTCGAAGAACATCCGAGTAGCAGAAGAGTCGTATACCCTTACCCGCAAAAGGAACCTGTCTCCACTCTATTTAACACAGGGAATCAATAATTCAAGAATAGGTAATAAACAAACCGAACACACTCTACTTATTAGCATCTCACATATCTCCAGAACATAAGATAGGCAAAAAAATAAAAATAAAAAATATTGAACTGTGGCAAGAAGCAGAGTTCAATAGAAAGTGTACAATTATCTATAGTTTCACACAAGATTCTCGATTTGCTTTCTGGCCGATTTGCAATTGTGTCTCGATTTTATGAATCAAAGACACACACATGAAAAGATGAATAAACAAATGAACAGGCAATAGCTCGTCAAACAGCAAAGTGCACTGTCCACCTGAAGCTCCAAATGCAAAGATTATAGTCAGTCACATACCCTTAAAGGTGCAATAAACTTGAGTGACAATTCAGTTAGAGCTAACGCATCACCAGCTCGGGCGACTGCATCTGCACTCACACCCATTCTCAGCAAAAGTTCATGACGACCTGTAACCAAATTCAGATACATAAAGAGCCAAAAAATAATAACGAAACAACAAAAAAAGAATGAGAGAGAAGAAAACAGAATCACTTGCAATGTCTTATAGCTATAATTGAAAATTAGACAGATGGGTACAACTTCTTTGTCCTCCTGGAAAAGGAATTTAACTTGAGCTTCTGTAAAACCTCAACTGTTCAATTACCAAACCAATATAAAATTCAGGTACAATTTTCGACATCAAGAGGATGTCACCAAATGATTCAAATTAGTGGTATTGTATGTTCTTACATCGCTTATATGAATCCTAACCAGAAAAGATCATTAAACGAGAATCTATAAATGCCACAATATTTGAACAGATCAGTCTCACCATGTTGGCAGTAACTTGCGTATATAGCATTATTTACGACGCCGTATTGATCCAGTTCGTAGTCCCGAACTTCAAGTTCGATATCGTGAAAACTGTTCATCCTGAGAAAAAATGTTCAAATTTCTCCAGATGATACTGTTCTGATGCAATATTGTCAACATAACATACGCCCACAACAAGTGACCCAAACGAGCAAATTCCCGAAAAACATACAAAAATTAAACAAATAAGATTCAAATTAGCCCCATAAATTACATTGAACTATTGGGAGATGCTACGGTCCCGTTACGGAACCATTCCGTTGGGGTTTGTAACCGTCAGATCAGCTATCCCGACGGGTTACATGACCTAACGGTTACAAACTCCGACATAATGGTTCCGTAACAAGACCATAGCATTTCCCTGAACCTATTATCTCCACCTCCCAAAACCGTTCAGTCATCCAAATTGAACCCAAATTCTTCGATACTATCGAGAAATAGAAGAGCAAGTGAACTAGCAAACCTAAACAAATAAATGCAAGATAATTAACATCAAAGGCCAAATCAAAGAAAAATAGAAAAGTGAAAGATCTAACAATTAAACTTCAATTCGCACTTTTCTCATCAATATCTAGAAACACAGGCACACAATTTGGGATAATTGACCTAAAGAAACAGAAAACAAAAAATAAAAATAAAAATAAAAAATAAAAAATTGAGTACCCTTGTCCACCTTTAAAATCAAACGCAGCAGCAATAGAGGTCCTGCCTCGAGAGGAGGACAAACTGAGCCGTCTGAACCGGGCATGCCGCCGGGGATCGGCCGGGAAATTTGTTGAGCGACGGGGAAAGAGTACCGCAGCGGGAAGGTCACGCGCGGTCGGGATGGGCGCGTGCGCGCCGGAGTTAATGAAAGAGTGCGACATTATCATTTTCCGAGAACCGACGAGCCGTTGGATAGCTAGCGGCCAAAGTTTTGAAGAGCTAGCTAGCGCATATATACAGCTGTGAAGAATAGCGTTCAAAGTTTTTAATAGAGTAGTTTTGCACTAAATTCTCATTAAATGGAGTAAATGCAATGGGAACTTCTCCTACTAACTCTTTTCAACTTCCTCCTCATCTTTAAATTGTTTTTTTTTTTTTTTTTTTTTTTTTTTTTTTTTTTTTTTTTTTTTTTTTGTTTTTCCTTTGAACTCTCTATCCTATAATTTTGGTTCTACTTAACTCTCTCTTCTTAAAATAAATCAAAAATAAATTAACTTATTACATTACCACACTACAACTTATTTTATTCGTTTTGTTATACCTTTTTTTTTGTGAAATGGTGCTTTATAGCACTTTTATAAAATAAAAAATGAAATCTAGCCATGTTTTTCAAAAAATCAAAATCTAGCCATTTTGGCTTGCAAAAGTACATAATTGCCCTTAAACCATTTTTTCTTATGTCAAAAGCTTTAAATAGCCATTACTTTTTATAAAAAATGAAATCTAACCATTTTATAAAAATAAAAGTGTTATTGCCCTTTTATAGCACTTAACCAAAAACAAAAATCATCAAGAATAAGCTAAAAAAGCTCAAATTTCAAATATTTGAGAAATGAGTAGAATAAATAATACTCCTCTTTGGGAAAATATTGAAAAAATCTGAAATAATCAAGAATTAATTCTTGAAAGACTTGAAAAAACGAGCAGAAATATCGAATTTCTTGATACTTTACTATCAGAAATTCTTGATATCGCAGCAAAAGCTGACAAA